CACAGTCTCTCTTCCCTGGCCCCCAATGCTGCGCCATCTCTTCTTTGCAACACACACACACACACACACACAGCTCCATCCAGCCTGCCCTGCACAGCCACCCACACAGTCAGTCGGCATGAATAGGACTGAAAAACTGTCATGCATCATCAAATGCGCGAAGGCCCTTTTGAATATATGACTGTGCCTTGAATGTGGAGGCATTTGAATGGGCGGCTGCAGAATGCTCTCTGTGCACATGGATGAATGGGTCTCAGGCCAACCAGACGTGCAGTGTGTCAGAGAGATGACTCTATAACAGGACAGTAGTATTACATAGGCACCTGTGAGTCTAAAGCTGATTCAACCTCTCTCGGATTTAGATTTTGACCTCTGTTCTCACATTCTCTCGCGCGCCTGAAAGAGGTGAAAATGTTTGTCATGCCCGCAGAATGCGTGTCATTGTTGTCCGGCATTGTCCCCTACACAGTGTCCTGTCAAAAATGCTGATTCCTTTTGGGGATAATGTTTTTGGAGGCCCGGTGACGAGAGTACAGACGTTTCTGCAGCAATGCGTCTGTGCTCCAATTATGTGGCACACAATTAAGAGCTTTCTTTTTGATGTGATTGTTTGATATTAACAACATACAACAATAAATTCCCAGATAGATTTGAAATGAAAATCTTTACAAATAAAATGCTTTTTGTCCTCTTTTTTTTTTTTTTCCTCCGCAGGTCTAAGTGGGCAGCCTGCAGACATCGAGAAGCGGAAAACAGTGTTTGGGGAAAATCTTATACCGCCCAAAAAGCCCAAAACTTTCTTACAGTTAGTGTGGGAGGCGCTACAGGATGTCACGCTGATTATCCTAGAAGTGGCAGCCATAGTTTCACTAGGCCTTTCTTTTTATAAACCTCCAGATGCCGAAAGAGAAAGTAAGCAACAACACTTTTTCCAATACTATATCCTTTTACTTTGTATTGATACATTTTACTGTTATAAATAGGCTGATGTTTACATGTTTGGGATGTTATTTGAATAGTTCGGGCCTGGATAACACTTTCTATGTTAAAGAAATGTTTGTCTCTGCCTCATTTATCTTGTTAATTTATTTTATGGTAGAATCTAATACATTTCATTGTGCCTGTATTATAGGATGATGTGTTAAGCTGGAGATAGAATGGGATAGTTTTTTATTTTATTTTTTTTTTAATGTGTCCCTTTCCCTCTGCAGACTGTGGAAGGGCTGCTGGCGGTGTGGAGGATGAAAATGAATCAGAAGCGGGCTGGATCGAGGGTGCCGCCATTCTTCTGTCAGTTGTCTGTGTGGTGCTGGTGACAGCATTCAACGACTGGAGTAAAGAGAAGCAATTTAGGGGCCTCCAGAGTCGTATTGAGCAGGAGCAGAAATTTACTGTCGTCCGTGGAGGACAAGTTATCCAAATTCCTGTGGCTGAGATCGTGGTCGGTGACGTTGCACAAGTAAAATATGGTAAGAAGAGATTATCATATATGTAATTGAAGTTATTTAATTTAAGGGAAATGTGATTTTTGATTTGATATACATTTGTCAAGATATATAATATAAATATAAGAATGATTAGGATAAATATCATGTAATCCAAGATTCATTCAAACATAATTGCACAGTTCAAGTTTTTTTGAAGTTGTTTTAACAACGTGTTTTTTCAGGTGACCTTTTGCCTGCCGACGGAGTCCTCATCCAAGGCAACGATCTGAAGATCGATGAGAGCTCACTCACGGGAGAGTCGGACCATGTCAAGAAAACACAAGAAAAAGATCCAATGCTGTTATCAGGTAACATGAAGCCTCAGTTTTGTTTTTTATTTTTTGAGGGTTTGATTGAAAACATAAGTTGATCTGTTATTTTGCTGGACACCTTAAAATGATCTATAATACTTATAGACGTCCGAAGATAATGTGTACGGTATTATTTTTACATTTACTCAGCTCAGTTAGTTTTTCAAAGTTAGTTTTTACAGACATTTAAACATCCTAAATGTATCATCTTCACAGCAGTGTTCAGCATTTAATTTACACCAATAATCTTTATACAGTCAAAGACAAAGGTTTGACTTACATCAGCTAAGAATTTGTAGTTAAGTTTTGATTATCCCAAAATGAGCCATTGCAGCTACAGTTTGAAAATAAAAGAATTTATCAGTATTCAGTATGGTCCACAAATCCTGTTTTGAGGATAATTTGTCTATGCTTTGAAAGAATTTCTCTGTGGAGTCAGTGTTGTGATGTTAATTTGCATGGCTTTAGTGACAAACTGGATTAGAAATTGAAAGTGAATTGGTGTCCCTATCCTGCTACTCAGTGTAATCAATTATCTGTCATCCAACACTCCCCAGATATAAAGCTGGAATAGTTTCAGTTTTGCTGTGTATAGAGTCCACTCCATGTCCACAAAGCCCCTTCAACACTGTTTGTGCTGTCTGATAGCTTTGTGAAGACAAAGCTATCTGACAGCTAGATTTGTAGGGATTCTGGAGAAATACTTGTTGTTTAGTTCATCTGGCTCTCTACTGGCATAGAGAGAGGCGTGTACTCTGTATGTGCGTGTGTACACATTGCTCCACCACTGCTTTTTGATTTCCCTTAGCACAGGCTGTATCCCTTCAGCCATCCTTCTCACGAAAGAAAGGAAAGCATCCTCTGGAGACCCAGAGATATTAGACTCTGGAGAAACCCTGTTGCAGCCTCTCATATTTCCATTAATTCACCCGGACTGACAATTGGCTTTTGATTAAAGGCTGTTGATTAAAGCTTTGGAGGCTATTTGCATCCGTGACTGTGTTTCTGTCTCTTTTTACTTGCAAGTGCACCATTCCTTTCGTATTTATTGCCTCCATTTGAAAACCTGCATTTATTTTCTCCTTGTGTGTAGCTGAACATGCCAATTGAAAGCCTGGTTAAACCACCTCCTCAGTAAGCAAAGGAATCTAGCTCAACATTTAGTCTGAACCAAAATGAAAAAGTCAAAGAATTAGTCAGAAATATATATATTTGGTCAGGGTTAAAGCTCTTGCCAAAGTATAAACGGAAACATAAGTAATCTTGGAAAGAAGTGAAAAACGTATAATTTAGTCACATACTGTACATGCCCTTTTCCTCCCTTCCTCATTGACTGACGTTTTATTTTCCTCCTCTGTCCAAAGGCACCCATGTAATGGAAGGCTCAGGGAAAATGCTGGTCACTGCTGTGGGTGTCAACTCTCAAACTGGAATTATCTTCACTTTACTCGGGAGTGCAGAGGATGATGAGGAAGACGAAGAGGAAAAGAAAAAAGAAAAGGAGGAGAAGAAGAAACAGAGAAAAAGTTAGTCTGCTCACTATTTATTTCCCAGCAGGTGGACATGTTTGTGTTTGCATTTCCATTTTTTACCACCAGTTTTGCATCATCTTCCATTGAGATTTTTGTTTATATATATTAAAAGCAGAGATGGCTGAGCCTGTGTGGAAAAGTGTAGTTGACTTGGTATTGCATGCTGATTTGAATACTTACTGTACGGAAGTTGGGGGCAGCTCTTTTGGAGGTCAGCAGCAGATTCAAGCTCCAGGGCTGAGCTGTAGGATTTTGTGAAGTTACCTATGGATAGGACTGCAGCTAACAATTTTTTTTTCATTATCGATTAACCTGCTGAATATATTCTTAATTAATCCTGTAGTCTATATAGTCTATAAAATGTCAAAAAAAAACACTTGAAAGTTTTCCGCACCACATGTCTTGCTTTGTCCGAAAACTCAAAGGTATTCAGTTTACTATCGCAAACAATCCCATCAATTTGTGAAGCTGAAACCAGCAAATGTTTGGTATTTTTGCTTAAAAAATGACATTGGCAAGCAGCAACTAATCTTTGCAGATTCTGCTTTTTTAGGTTTGAATCTCAGACTAGGAATGGTTTGGGCTAACTCTTGTATAAAGAAAATATTTTTAAATGTCATAAAAGTGAAGAATTGACATAATTATATGCATAATATACATACATACATATGGAGTTCTACTTACTCCATGGTGTATTTTTCCACAGACAAGAAGCAGGATGCATCTGTGGAAAATCGAAAGAAAGGTACACGCATGCACGCACGCACGCACGCACACACACACGCACACAGTCAGTCGGTATCAGTGTCTTCCTCCCGATTTAACAGCATTGGATGTAGGTTAGTCTCAAATTGTTAATAATTGCCTGCAGTGGTTTTATGCAAGTAATGAGGAGTTGCATATTTTTACATGACCCCATGTCAGTGTATACTTAGTACTAGCTCTTCTTGCCTTTCCATTGTACTGTCTAGCCCTCCCTTCTGTCTCTATCTCCTCTTTTCTCGTCCTTCCCTGGCACATTGCGCTTTGAGCAGCAGGTGCTACAGAATCCAGTTATAGCGATTAGTGGTGAGGAGATTAAAGCCATGCAACAATTCTGGGGCCAGAACATCTGCTTTCCCACCCATCTCTCTCCCTGACTCTCCCTCAGGCCCCCACAATTTGATTTCTATTGATGTCCCAATCTGAACTATTCAGAGTCAAACTGTAAGACTTGCACTGGTGCAATTTCAGACTGACAACAAATGATAATGAGGCTGTTTAGTGGTAACTCAGCCAGCTAGCCAGGCCTTTAGTCCTGCTGGGACACTATGATCAGTAGTGCTTGGGTCTGTGACCACAACCCTGGCGCTAGTCCCTGGTGCACAGATTCCCTCTGCCTGCCAGGAATCAACAGTAATCCTTTAGACTGAGATTACACAGGCCATGTAAGTGCAGAACAAGCCACAGTCCACAGCAGCTGCAGTAGCCCAGCGTTAATGCCACCCCTCTTCCTGCTGCATACATTCATACAAAAAAACAATGCTACTGTCAATACTGTAGGAAATGGAGCCTTTGGCCTTGACAAATTAGACGTTGGCTGCCTGTGCTTATAAAAAGCAAGACTGCAGAAATTACACAAGACAAATAGTGCATGGTAAGAATATCAGCTACAATGACCGTAAGTGAGAGATGGAAAAGATGTGTCAGTTATCCTGTAGCAGCAGTGGAATCAGTGCCCGGCAGAGCTAATGATTTTATCGTGGTGAGTGACACGACAGAGACCAGCCCCTGCTGGCCAGCCGGCTGCTTCTCCTCCCTCCTTTGCCATTAGAGGCTTTGCCGTCTCCAAGGTTACCTGGTTAGATGTGGGTTTGGGATTCCCGTCAGTTCTGCACGCAAGGGAGGGGGGTCCTGAGGGATGTTGAGGAAGCGATGAAAGAGATTTATGGGAATTTAACTGGCAACAGCCACTGTGGTTGCTGTCGAAGGAGGAGGTGATTCCTCAGACAGATCCTAATGCTACTAGCTAGTTAACCTGTTCTTTAAATCTCTAGGTGGGAGTATGGTAATTACACTTCCAAATCTTTTAGCTAATTACTGTGCAGTCAGATCACTGCACACATAATTACAGTGACATTTCCCAAGTTTCATGGATAAAAGGAAAGCAAAAGAATGCTAAATTTTGATTGATTTGACATCTCTTCTCTTCTTGGAAGTCACTTCCAAGTCACTTCACAATGTGCTCCTTTGCACAGTATATTTATCATTCTGTTTTGAAGAATATTGCTGTGACTTGTTACCTGCTAAATCAGATAACTGAGTAACTTAAAGGCAAAAATCTAGTCCAAACCTGTTGATCTACTTGTTGTTCTTAACACAACACCTAACAGAAAATATAGAAAATGACAATATTACTGGTGAAATTACTTTAGAAATAAATATAATAAAATAGTTATTATGTTGTTTGACCACATACAGTTTTATTCATTCACTAGTGTAACAGCAAGTTATGTCAGCCCTTGCAAATGTAAGCAAATTGGCTAATCTAAATAGGCTCCATTTTGCACTGACTGAATGCAGCAGTGTGTTCTTTGCATTAGGCTGATTTGTTACAACTGCAAGACTGGTTTGATCATAAATCCTTTTCATTTCAGACCAGTTCTCTTTTCTGCTTTGTAAGAAAATGTATAACATTTTGTGCATTGAATTTGTGTGCATTCGCTCATATCTAACTAAAATGTAATGGCCAATACTTTTAAATAGAATTTATCACTTTTTCCTTGTTCTTTGCTGCAGCTAAAGCACAGGATGGTGCTGCAATGGAAATGCAGCCTCTGAACAGTGATGAAGGAGCTGATGCAGAGGAGAAGAAGAAATCCAACCTGCCAAAGAAAGAAAAGTCTGTTCTCCAGGGCAAACTGACCAAACTAGCTGTACAGATTGGCAAAGCGGGTGAGTCTTGATTCTGGCTCAGCTCAATGCTGCAGATAGTAAAACACACATTTTATGTGCTTGTACTCTTGTATCCTCTCATTCACTGCAATTTTATTGTTTCTCGTTCCCCTCAGGACTGGTCATGTCAGCCATCACTGTTATTATCCTGGTGGTGCTGTTTGTAGTAGACACCTTCTGGATCCAGGGTCTGTCCTGGGTCAAGGAATGCACACCCATTTACATTCAGTTCTTTGTGAAATTCTTCATCATTGGCGTCACTGTTCTGGTGGTTGCTGTTCCAGAGGGCCTGCCACTTGCTGTAACAATCTCTCTGGCATACTCCGTTAAGGTAAAGTCCTCCTAGCCAATTGACCTGTGCCCAGTTTTGACCAGCTTACGCTTTAGCCTATTAAAACTAGCAGGCCAGGATGTTAAGACAAGGAGACTTTGCTAACTGATACCCTAAAGCCAAGCTATGACCCTGTGTGCTGAAGTTGTTAGCCAAACAGAGGGCTTTATCCAGTCAAGGAGCTATTAATTTAAATCTTTACACACATTTATTTGGCATACAAGTAAACATTGTGTTCAGGACTAAAAACTGTTAAATTTCTGCTTGCTCAAACTGAATTTAGTAGTGTTTAATCATTTGAATATTGTTTTATCTCCCAATAGAAAATGATGAAAGACAACAATCTGGTGCGTCACTTGGATGCCTGTGAGACTATGGGAAATGCTACTGCCATCTGCTCTGACAAGACTGGTACGCTCACCATGAACCGCATGACTGTGGTGCAGGCCTTCGTCGCTGAAAAGCACTACAAGAAGGTCCCTGAACCGGAGAACATCCCCTCCTCCATTTTAGACATCTTGATTCTTGGCATCGCAGTCAATTGCGCCTACACTACTAAGATCATGGTAGGCCTAAGAAAAGCAATGTGGCTCTATATTTACACTATGTATCACCATGAATATTGTCTTAATTACTGTGTTCCCATCTTTTTCTTCAGCCTCCAGAGAAAGAAGGGGGCCTGCCACGGCAGGTAGGCAACAAGACCGAATGTGCCTTGCTTGGCTTTTCTAATGACCTGAAGCGTGACTACCAGGCTATTCGCACCGAGATCCCCGAAGAGAAATTGTACAAAGTCTACACCTTCAACTCAGTCCGCAAGTCTATGAGCACTGTGTTGAAGATGGCTGATGGCAGCTACCGTATGTTCAGCAAAGGGGCCTCGGAAATTCTCCTAAAAAAGTAAGAAAACTATTTTATTATATTGGGTTGCATGGTTTATGTTTTCTGCTGGTTTAACACTTCTGTTCACATACATTATTCTACTCAATAAAATGTTATACCATAGACTTTTTACATGTTCCAGCTGGCCAGACTTTGCAGTAAATGATATTTATAATGTTTTAAGCAGCTAAGAAGTTCAAGTGCATCCCACCCGAGCCCCTTATTTTGCGACTTAAAAACAGGCGCTGAGAAAATGAGCCGGTAACAACCCTGTAAGCCTCTTAACCAAGCAGGCTTCTTTTTAACCCACAGAGGGCTTAGTGTGACTTCTTACTACTGCAGCTCACCATTCAGAACGCTTTGTCTTCTCCTCTGGCCTTTACCCTTTATCTCGTTTAAATATTTTTTTCCATTGATCTTCTCTGTACCTTGTTCAGCCACATTGCTCAACTACATCTCTATTAATACCTTACTCTGGATATTCCCCCCCTGAAATCCTCCCTTTTTTGTTTTACCCTCTTCTCTACACTTGTGTATATTAATACATCCTCTTTTCACCAGGTGTTCTAAAATCCTGACTGCAAATGGTGAGTCCAAGGTGTTTCGCCCACGGGACAGAGATGACATGGTTAAGAAAGTGATCGAGCCCATGGCCTCGGAGGGCCTGAGGACCATCTGCCTTGCATACAGAGATTTCCCTGCCTCTGAGGGTGAGCCTGACTGGAACAGCGAAAATGATATCCTCACCGGACTAACCTGCCTGTCTGTGGTGGGCATTGAAGACCCCGTGAGACTTGAGGTTAGTGGCTACACATGCAAGGATGCACGTCAGCATGAGGTTACATCAAGGTTGATGTTTTAATTGAAAAAGCAATAGAGAACTTTAATTTAATTGAGAAATTGCTTGTGGCTTCACTGAAAATGTCGAGATTCTGATTTTACATCTGCTAAAAACTAGAAGTTTATATGTTGCGTTGTATGACCATGTCAGAAGGCCGTGTGTTTATACCTGTACCTGATCCAAAGAGCCACACTTGAAGGCAGGGTGAAAGCTGGCTGTCATACATTTAAATATGGGGATAATGGGCAGATTTTCAGACAGTCTCTCCTGGAAGACATTCATAGTGTTGCACCCGGTGACAGAAATAGTTGTTATAAGAATAAAAAAAGAGAGCTAGAGAGAGAAGTTCGAAGCCTGTCTCTTTTCTCACATCTGCACAGCTGGCCAATCATGGTGTGAAAAGGGTGTGAAAAGGGTGTGAATGCTGGATTTTAGGTTTTGGGAAGTTACAGAAATATTCATACACAGCCTCCCTATTCCAATGTTGGAAAGGTGTGGGAGGAAGGGGGTTTCCTGAATCTATTCTGAAGCATTTCTGAAGGAGCATACTGGCAGCTTAAGGCTTAGCTCACTATACTGGACTGTTATGCACCCAGGATGTCTGAGTAAAGCAAGAAAATTTAATGATTAGATGCTGTGTCAGCCATTTTTCACTACACTGCAACAGCAGGGCCAGCCCTATAGTTTGACTGAGTAACTGAGTAATGAAGTAAAATCTCTCCACCCCCATATACTCGGTTTTGACTTAGTCTTGTCAAACATTAGGAGCGGCTCCACTTTGGCGTAAGCATCACATACTGAACCAGTACAGGAATTTTGATATTTGATGAAGTGGTTCCACAATCGGACAAGTAAATGATGATGATCAACTTTCTTCTTCAGTCGCTCATTTACTTTGGCTATTTGCTGTTTTGTGCTGGGCAGGTAGCGTATACTCAACTTCTCAACAACTGCCTGTAGTTTGTAAGGGGCTTGATAAGAGCAGTAATACTCAACTGTGTGTATATAAATCTAAACAAGGAGAAAAAAACAGCTTAGAGCTGCAGAATTTGACATTACTAATGACCAGTTTACAGAACAGGGAATGATTATATTCAGTATTGAACTACAAAAGTATAGCTGCAGAACTTTAATTTAATTCATTTATTAACTGTTATATGCAAAAATAACCTGCATTTCCTCCTTCATTGTGTTTCCGTTTTCCCTTCAGGTTCCAGACGCTATCAAGAAATGCCAGCGTGCCGGCATTACAGTGCGGATGGTGACTGGGGACAACATCAACACAGCTCGAGCCATTGCCACAAAGTGTGGCATTCTGCTGCCCGGAGATGACTTCATCTGCCTGGAGGGCAAAGAGTTCAACCGAAGGATACGCAATGAAAAAGGAGAGGTGGGCTACAGCAAAATACTGTACCTCAGAGACTGTTGAAAATGTACTGTTGGGATTCTATTAGGGTTTTGTCGTATGTTTCTAGATTGAACAAGAGCGCATTGACAAGATCTGGCCCAAACTACGAGTACTGGCTCGCTCCTCCCCCACAGACAAGCACACCTTAGTGAAAGGTAGTTCTGTTTCTCTGGTTTGGAATAAACGTGTGAAAAAATATTTTGTCACTTTGGCTTCAAGGTTTCATGTTTTACTTTTCTAGGTATTATTGACAGCACAGTGTTAGAACAGAGACAAGTAGTAGCAGTGACAGGAGATGGTACCAACGATGGTCCTGCCTTGAAGAAAGCTGATGTTGGCTTTGCTATGGTGAGTTTTCTTCATGTTTACTGTTTTTTGTTTTTGTTTTGTTTTTTTGTTTTTTTGGTTAAATATGTTGTGATTAGATGCAGACAGATTCCTGATCATCATCTTTTTTTTTTTTTTGTCTCCAGGGTATTGCCGGCACAGATGTAGCCAAAGAGGCATCTGACATCATTCTGACCGATGACAATTTTTCCAGCATCGTCAAAGCTGTCATGTGGGGACGCAACGTCTACGACAGCATCTCTAAGTTCCTCCAGTTTCAGCTCACTGTCAATGTGGTGGCTGTCATCGTAGCATTTACAGGAGCCTGCATCACACAGGTTAGCACCTGCAGAGTCTGTTTCACGTTGATTTAAAAAAAGACATCGATCTCCAGTGTGAAGGTGGTTAAACTGTGAAAAGTTTTGTTCACTAGTTCACACTTTGACTCAACAGCAATGGAATTGGTACAATTGGCAGCAACAGACTGAAATAACTAAAGCTTTATCTCAAATCCCTGTTTCCACAGGGTCTGAAACACAGTCAGATATCATTTTGAAAATATAGAAACATGCTGTGCACTTTCATACATTTGTAATCTGTAATCTATTTCTAAAGAGGCCTATTCATTAAATTTCCTCACTCATTAGAAATTATAAACACCTGTGAAATTACTTGATCTTTTAATTTTAATTTTAATGTTAATCTTTTGTAGTCTACTTGAGCTCTGTTCTGCAGCCTAATGCTGTGATGATTTAAGTGCCTTATTTTGTGCCAAAATGTTAAATATTCAATGTATTTCTCAGACACAATTGTCTTTCCATAAAAATCGTATCCAGTAACCATAACCTGTTTATTTTCTTTAAACCATTTGCACGTGTGTACAGCTGTCAGTGAAATAATTTGTTTTTCACATGCAAATTGGTGCAGTTTGGTTTGGTCAGATGAAATATCTCTAATATATGCTCTGAATGTCCTTTATGTTATAGATAGTACCGTATATGTGATAGTGATGTGAGTCTTGTAGGTGGGTTATTTTTTCTCTTTTCAACCTAATTCGGTGCCCCTCTCTACCTCTAGGACTCCCCACTGAAAGCGGTGCAGATGTTATGGGTCAACCTCATCATGGACACCTTTGCTTCACTAGCCCTGGCCACTGAGCCCCCCACAGAAGCTCTGCTGCTAAGGAAGCCATACGGCCGCAACAAGCCTCTCATTTCCCGTACCATGATGAAGAACATCCTGGGCCAAGGAGTGTACCAGCTAATTATCATCTTTACTCTGCTCTTTGCCGGTAAGAAGCTATACTGGGTGTAATTCTTCATGCCAAAGAGCAAGTGGACCTTTTTGTGTGTGTTTCTCTGATAAATCATCCTTTTATTTTAACAAACTTTCTCTGACTGTTCCTGTAGGAGAGAAATTGTTTGACATTGACAGTGGCAGGAATACACCCCTCCATGCCCCACCCTCTGAACACTACACCATTGTCTTCAATACCTTCGTATTGATGCAGCTTTTCAACGAGATCAATGCCCGCAAGATCCATGGTGAAAGGAATGTCTTTGAAGGCATCTTCAACAACCTTATCTTCTGTAGTATTGTCTTTGGTACCTTCATTATCCAGGTAAAGTACACTGGGAACTTCTGTGGCTTTTTGCGATTGTGCTCCATGACACTTACATGTAAAAAGATGATCAGTCCCTTGAGAATTGCAACCTGCAAATGTTAAATCTAAATGTTTGCTCTCTAATTAATTCCTCTCTTCCTGCTCCTCTAGATCGTCATAGTGCAGTTCGGAGGGAAGCCGTTCAGCTGCGTGTCTCTGACAATCGACCAGTGGCTATGGTGCACGTTTTTAGGCTTTGGCTCTCTACTATGGGGACAGGTATGATCTGACTATATGCAGCTGAGCTTCACCTCGAGTTGGCCAGATAGAGAAATATGGTAGGACAGCGCCCCCCTGTGTTGGATTTAGCTTAATGGGTGTCTAATGGTGTCAGAGGCATAACAGTACAGCATGTTCTACTGCTGTGAAGAGCTGATTAAACTCCCAAACTCAAACTGAAAATTGAGTAAATGTTGAGAAAATCAGATGGTGTACAATAAATATCTTTAGTCAAGCTTACATTTTTATATAACTACCTTCTGCAAAGATCTTGAGATTGATGGAATCTTTCTTTATTTTTCCCGTGAACAAAACTAATATATATATTTTTATCAATGCTTTCTTTATTAGAATTTTGAATGATTTCTTCATAATTATATATGTATAATGTATAATTAACTACTGTGGAGTATATTATTCAAGTTTGTTGCCATATTAGTAATTGTCTCTTTGTGATTTCTGGGAGATTGAGGGTTCCTCACCACTGTTGCTGACAATGGCAGAGAGTCGTAATGAATGTTTGATGTAATTCTAGTTTGCTCTCACTGCCCACGCTCATCCTACACAGCAGCTCCTAATATGTCATTATCCACTCTTGTTAATTCAAAAAGAACTGTGTCGTCGACATTTTCTGACAAGACACAAATAAACAGAGCTGGCTGAGCGTATGCAGGTTCAAACAGCTGACAGTTGCAGAGCTGAGAAGGTGGCTGTGTTGCAGAAGCCAAGATTACCGGTTCCAAAGAAAGGTCTTTCCAAGGTGCTGGTCTCTGAGTTGTTGCTGCCCTCTGCTTTGAAATAGGATGGGCTGAATGCAGATGCAGATTTTCCATAGATTATCAGTAAAGTGTAACTTAACTTAATTGTGTGCAATAAGCAAGTCATCTATTGCGTGCATTGTGTGAAGTTTACCTTGTTATATACTTCTCTGCAGCAGTTGCTTTGAAATATGATGATCTATTCTTGTTTTTGACTAATCTGCCTATTGTTTTCTCAAGTTATATAATCATGGTTTTGTCTGTAAAATGTTAGGAAAAAAAGCCTGTTTTCCAGAAGCCAGACTTCATATTTCTTGTTGTATCTGACTATTTCTCCAACACCGAAACATATCCAATTTACAGTCACTTGTGACACAGAAAAGCAACATTTGAAAAATTATTGCGACTATATTATTATAGACCATTCATTTCAGATGAATTGATTGTTTCAGCTCTAATATGATGATGTATAAAAGGAGGAAGCTTTTAGGACTAAAATGTAGTCCTTTTATCAGTTCTTATCAGATAGTCATGTAGCATGTCGGTAGAAGTTAACATAATTAAATATGTCGTTAGCATTAAGTACAACATTAACCTTATCAGCATTAACAGTGAGGTGTTGAGTGTGTAACTTCTCTGTGGGATTGGCTCTGAGACTGAGCAAACCAGATGACGTCAAACCTACTGTGTCACATCTGCTTTTGTCAGAGCGGCTAATTTTCAGGGTCACTGGCCGCTTAATGTCTGCGATGTACCCAGAAACTTGGCTTGTTCTGCCTTAATGAAATGTCATTTCACCACGCTGAGGAGTGTGACATTATTATAGGTCAGTCCTGCTCATGTAAGTCCTGCTGTCTTCCAGGTAATCTCCACGGTACCCACCAGCCGCTTAAAATTCTTGAAAACGGCGGGCCATGGCACCCAGAAAGAGGAGATCCCGGATTACGAGCTGGAGGAGCTGGATGACATGGATGAAATTGACCACGCCGAACGGGAGCTTCGCCGGGGCCAGATCCTCTGGTTCCGAGGCCTCAATCGCATCCAGACTCAGGTAACAATCTACAGACCCTCCCGTGTACCACCGAGCACCGCACCCAACACCAAAGGGAATCAAAAGCCATAAACCCTTCAACTCTATTGCTCTTCCAGCTTTAAAAATCTATGTTTTGTTCTTTCTCGGCATTCTTTAAGAATGGCTTGTGCCCTAAAAACAAAAGCCTTCCATCTAATTTTTCTGTTCTGCTTCTGAGCTAAAGCGGGGGTCCTGTGCCTATTTCTGACTCGGTCTGAATGTATCTGCTAAAACACGACAAGTTTGAAGGTACTGATGTGAAGCAAGTGAATTGGATTGGATGGAGAGCATGCTAAAACAGCTGAATGTTAAAAAAAAAAGAAAAAAAGAGTATTGGCATGGCTATAGCTGGAAGTATGGAAGGATTCTGCAGAGAAAAGAGTGAAAGTGAGGTCAGAGCTCCCTCCGATCAGTGCCTTTAAACCCACCCATCCCCTTTTCCCTCTCTCCTTTAACTATAATGCCTAAATCCAATTTCCAAGTGACATTTTTTCTATGGTTACTGGTGCCTTTTCTTTATTTTTTCTCTCTTTTCTCTCTCCTCTGGCTGTGTTGTTTTATTTCCTCTGGGCTTTCTCCTGTCACGCTGTCTGATTCTTTGCAGATGGATGTAGTGAGTGCGTTCCAGAGTGGAACTTCCTTTCAGGGGGCTCTAAGGCGGCAGGCCTCCAACTCCAGCCAACAACAGCACGATGTAACCAATGTTTCTAGCCCTACACATGTAGCCTTTTCTACTACTACCACTACTGCCACTGCCGCCAACACCGCTTCTGCCACTGTGGGGTGTGAGTGCGTGTTCTCCTCTAGTGCATGAGACTTTTATTTCTTCTGTTCTTCTAACATCTTCCTCCTCCACTCTTCTTCTCACTTAACGTTGACACTTTTACTCTCTCATGCTTCTCCTAATGTGCCCCCCCCACCCTATTTTCTTCAAAAATAATGACACCAAAAATACCACATCTTCCATATTGCTTCGATAACACTGCTGTATATATCTATATATATATATGTACCCTGTGACCAGGTCGCTTCTAGTGTCAAGGTGTTTTTTCTGTGTCATCATGTTTTCTGTTCTGCTTCTGCTTTGGTCTCAGGAATGGAAAGGTTTTACTGTTATCTCGGGGTGGGGTGGGGGGGATGTGTATATACTATTTGACCAAAATTACATTCTGGATTGACAATCACCAGGTTTGTCTGCAGCTGCCTCAGTCTGCTCTGTGCCCCTGTAGCACCCATGGGTCTGTGTCGCAGCTCTCTAGTCCCTAGTCGGGTAAATGTTTTGAGTATATGCCCATGATCACGGTCTAAAACAATAGAGACAAACCATGACATGGACCTCCTGTGAGGAAAATCTATACGAATGTCAGTGGATGTCTTGTCAGTCAGTGGTGAAATAATTACCTTTTCTTCTCCAGCTGTGGCTGATACTGGGAGTGTGTTTAGAGAGTGGGTGGCAAGGGAGAGGCTCCAGTAGCACCCTATAGCGGATATGCAGCTGCACTTGATAATGACGGTTTGTTGCTGTGTTTTGAATGCGAGGCTGTGCATAGTTATGAAAGGTCTGGTAGCTTTTTTTTTTTTCTTACATCATGCCGGTGGTCCATTCAGCGTGGAAGATCACAATGTCGAGAGCGGATCATTTGATGACGGCATTTCCAAAGGCCTTCCCTCTTGTCCGTGCCCTTACAAGAACTGTGGTGGCCCTTGACAACGACTTTTTCTCTTTCAGATTTTCCCAGGCAACACCGTCTGACCAGCAGTGGATTTTAAATGTCTAACAGATGTCAAAAAGAAAAGAGCTAAATGGAATAAATGACTGCTCTTGAATGTAAACATGTGGGACTTTCCCAGACACATTAACAGCAGATGCAATGTTTTCCCCTGGCATATTGAAAAATGATGCAATGCTGCAGTAATGGCTTCAGGTCTCCGTCTCAGGTGGGACTCAAGCGGGTGCTCCTCTTCTAAACTCTCAACTTTTTCCTTTTCAGGTGCTCTGGAGAAGAGTTTTCTCGTTCTATGTGAATATTTGTTTTTGGCAGAATGTGTCCACCTGGCAATGTATTGCCTGAAAAGAATGAATCCCACTGACTCCCCACATATTCTTCTTTAGATTCTGTGAAATGTGTCATGGGCTATACTCAAAGGTTTACTACCATTGAACACAAGGTAGCGCCGCGCTCTGCATGGGTTCAAAGTCTCTGGTCTCGTTTGTGAGTTTTTTCTCTTTGTGCTGTTTTTGACATGTATACCAGCTTGTAGACATGCTTGGCTGCCGCAGCTTTTTTGTTTTTACTCCACAAACATAAGCTATAACTGACCACCCCTTTCTGTCTTTCTTTTTCTGTCTCTCTCTCTCTCTGTCTCTCTGTCTCTCTCTCTGTCTGTCTCTCTCTCTCTCTC